TTTTTTCAAATAAGACACATTGAAAGTTTGATAAAATGCCTAACAAAGCTAAAACTCATGAAGAAAACCGAAAATGTGTTTGTTTCTTATGTTTGAAGAAGGCAAATCGAGAAATCACAAGTTTTTTAGTGGAGAAAATTCGCACAGTCCTCAAAATTGAGCTTGATTTTTCAAACTTTCAAATCCCTTGTGGAATTTGTGAAAGATGTCGTGTGGCTATTCGCAGACGAGAAGAAGGGGAGGATGCACCTATCCCAAGGCTCTTTGATTTCAGCACCATCTCAGTTCAGCGTGCTGCAACAAATATTCCTTGTAATTGTTTGATTTGTCAAACTGCAAGGACAAATATGAATCAGCGTCATCCTTTGGAACCACCGAAACCCAAAGAAAATTCAAGCATTGAAAAAAGGTGCTCTGATTGATTCTCTGTGATTGGTCGTGGATTGCCTCACAATTGCACAACAGGAACATTAAGGCAAAATTTAGTGGAAGTTGCTTCGAGGGATCGCATTGCGGCAGAGAGGGTAGCATCATTAACAATTGCTAATAAAACTCCATCACCTCATGGCACTGTTCGGCTAAGTCAACCACTTGGAGGAAATCGTTTTCCCGTTGTTCCAGGTAAAGCAATATAGGTTTAAGCATAAACCACTTATAAATTTCTTTTAAAATGTAAATGTAGAAAATTTTAACCTCAGCCATTAAATGTTCTTTAGGACCATCAAGTGCAAGAGAATTGTTTCCTGCTGTGCCCAAGCTCACGGCACAAGACATGGTTGGAGTCCAAATTGGTAATGGACACGGCACAAGACATGGTTTGGATTCAAATTCTCCACCACCAAAACGAGGGCTTAAAGACACAGGAGTCAAACGGCAACTTCTGGTGGCAATTTCAGAAGATCTGCCAGAGAGTTATGACAACTTGAAAAGCATAATTTCTTCTCTTCAACTTCACAAACTTTCCTACATAATCTCTTGTGACATGAAAGTCGCCAATCTTGTTTGTGGTCTTCAGTCCCATGCAAGTGCACATCCTTGTTCATGGTGTGATGCAGAATCAAAAGATTTGAGTCGCTCTGGAAGTCTCAGAACACTTGGTTCAATTCGAGAAAACTTTCTGCAGTTTCAAAGCAGTGGTGCCAATACAAGGAGAGCAAAAGACTTCAAAAACGTTATCCATGAACCCATAATGACTCAGCCAGATGACACACTGATTTTGGACATCATTCCTCCCATGAAACTTCATCTGCTTCGTGGAGTCGTTAACCATCTCTACAAAAGTTTATGCCAGATTTGGCCCGCAGCAAAGGAATGGCCAGCAGCCCTTCATATTCAAGAGCAGTCTTTTCATGGTGGCCAATTTGCAGGGAATGACTGCCGCAAGCTCTTGAAAAACACTGATCGCCTTCAAAGTTTAGCTGAGCAAAGCTCATTTTTTCTTGCTGTGCCATTTGTTGAAACATTGAGACATTTTGACTCAGTGGTGAATGCTTGCTTTGGAAATCACTTGAGCCCCGATTTTGAACAAAAAATTTTACAGTTTCAGTAGTCGTACCTGAAGTTGCCAAATACTTCAGTCACTCCCAAAGCACATGCGGTGTTTTTCCACCTGAAGGATTTCATCCTTAGACACAATTCTAGTCTTGGCATTTTCTCAGCAAACATTCATTTTAGAATAAAAAGGATCAATTTTATTGTAAAATATGTTTTTTTTTATATGTCTTATAGAAATATATGGGAAAATTAACTTTTTGCTCTATAAATACTGAAAAAAAGCCAAATTCCTATCATCTCGTTTAAATTTTGATATGCCAGAATTAAAGAAAATAAAAACTAAAATATCTCTCTCGGACGTCATAGTTCGATTTCCAAATTTATATCTAAGTGATCTACTATATGTGGGCTATCATCCCACCAAAGGGTTTTCTCAGGACATGAGGTTAAGGTTGATGACCATTTCGTGACACTGTGAGTTGTTAGTACAACAAAACAAAAAATAAACATTTTCATACAGTATGCCTAGATATATAACTTACTTAAAGCTAATTTAAATTTTTTATAAAAAATTTATGTTAAATTGGTGTTTATACATCTAATTGTGCCTTTAATGGCCAAATACTAAAATTATACTAGAGTAAAGAAAAACTATTCCAAAATTTATGTTAAAAAAAAACTGATAAATTGTTTAAAAAAAAGCAATACAACACCAAAAAAAAAAAAAAAACGCCAAAAAAACCAAAAAAACGCCAAAAAAACACGTTTTTTTGACCCAAAACAATGCCAAAGAAAAAAAACTTGTTTTTTTGCAACTCTATGAGTGATCATCTGCATTCATCGTTTTTTTTTGTTGTTTACTTTTTTGACAATCAAGACTAATTGTCATAATAAATAAATTGAATTAATTTTAGTAAAAGGGTTGATATTTTCATATAATAAAATTTTTTGGAAAGATTGTATTACATACTTCTGACATTTTTTATTATATTTAGTTAATTAGTTATGCTGTAACTGACTTGGTAAGCCAGTAAGTATGCCTTTAAGGATACTGTGACAACCTAATCTATTGATTGTTATTCATCCAAAAGTCAAATCTTGGTTTAAAGGAGTAAACTGAAGACAAATACACAAATTCTAAAGGAATTGAGATTTTTCATTTTTTTCTTTAATACTTGAAATAGTGACCTCTAACTTGATTTTTAACAATCTTTATGTTGTTTCCTGTTTTATTTATTTTGCTCATGATTTTATATAGGTGGATCATTTCTCCCTTTCTCTCCGTTCATTTAGAGTTGTCAACCCGAGAACTTTTAAACACTTTTCATAACTTATTCACTGAATTGAACCAATTTAGTAGTTTAATGCTTCACTCTTTAATTTACTTTACAGTCACTTCTTAATTATGGGGACCAAACTGGTAAAAAAATAAATTCTAGAAGAGAATAGATAGTCACATAACGTGATTTTAGTATTTGGAAATCAAATATGGCAAAAGCTTTCTTCAAACAACCCAACATTCTACCTTGTATTACTTGTTGTGGAAGTCACTTGGTCCTTCCACATCCTAAATCTTTTGTACTTTCTGATTCAGGTAATTTTTTACCATTAATATATCTTTACATTGTTTACTACATAAAGCATTATTCCACATTTTTTAACATCAAATCTTAAAAGCCAGTCTTCTGTCAATTTAAATGGTACATCTAAATATTTCTGCAGACTTTCCTTAAACATCAAGGGTTCAATGACTGAGCCCTGTGGCACGCCACTAAAAATTTCAAGCCACTCAGAAACAATTTCACCAAGAACAATTCTTTGTGTTCTATTTTTTGAAAAGCTTTCTATCCATTTCAAAACTAAATCCTGAATTCCATACATATTTAATTTAGCTAAGAGTCTCTTTTGTGGAACTGTATCAAAAACTTTAGCAAATTCTAGCATTACTAAATCAACAGGTATACCATTGTTAATGCAAGAAGAAATAAAGTAATAGAAGAATAGAATAGCAAGAAGAAATAAAGTCTAGAGTTTCTAACAAATTTGTGATGCAAGATTTCCCTTTTATAAATTTATGTTGTTGGGCTGTCAATAAATTGTTGTTGTAAAAATGTTTCAATTTTTTCTTATATAATAAATTTATATATATAGCAGGAAACAGATGTTAATGAGACAAGGAGATGGTTGCTGGCAATAGTTTTGTCATCCTTTTCATAGATTGGTGCTATGTTTTCAGACTTGAATTGAATTGGGAGTTGACTGGTCCTGAGTGATGTTCTAAAGATAAGAGTTAGTGGTAAAGGAAGCAATATAGAACAATTTTTGAGGACTGTTGAACAAAGTTTGTCAGCTCCAGGTGATTTATTTTCTTTCAGTGATCTAAGTTTTGATAAAACAAACTCAAAGCTTATATCATTAGGTTCGATGTCTTCAAATTTAATTACATCATTTAATTCAAAATTAAAAGGTGGGAGATCTCATTCTTTTTCAATAATTTAAGACATCCTGAGAACGTTTATTGAGATGATAGCAAATAGCAAATTTGGATTATGTTTAGAGTTATACCCTAGTTTTTTTTTCAAATAAAAGTCAAGCTGATTGTATTTCTGTAGTAACTAAATTGCATAGCAGCTTATATTCTTTAGTCATGTTAACATCCTTCTATTTATGAGCACAATCTCTGTATCTTCAATTTTTTCTTCTCCTTATTAACTACTTGAAATCATAGTTTATCCAAGAGACTGTTGAAATTTTAATTAGTAAAGCGCCTATAGTTGGAATAAATAAGTTACATGCCTTGGTTGTATAGTAAATTTACTTGTTCATGTCATGCATATACTTTGTTTCATATAACTTCACCCCACCAATATTAGACATATAGTCAGAAATTTCGTTTAACTTTGCTTTGTTATATAAAAATTTGTATTTACTATGAGCTAAACTGCTAACTTTTTTAAAGCAAAAAATAAAAAAATAATATTGTGCTTTTTATTTTTTCAATATTTGGGGATGGAAATTCTGATTTCTATTATATACAAATAATGATAAAGGTTGTAAACATTATTAAATCTGGTTTAGCCAGAAGCTTCTGTCTAGTTACTATTAATCAACAACTATAAAAACGTTCTACCTAACAAAATTCTTTCTATAAAAGTAGTTTGTAAAAAACTGTGTTTTTTTTATATATAGTGATGTAGTTATTCAGTAAAACTTAGATTTTTATTAAACTTATCACAATTTTTATTTACATATTTACATAAACTTAAACTATTAGATCCCTTAACACTTGAAATAAATGTTGTCTTAATCTATTTTACAAAAAAAAAAAAACATTTTTGAAAACTAAGTATAAAAATTAAAGTTCTTGTAAAAGATTTCAAAATAAAATTATAAAAAACCTTTTTTAATTCACCAGCTGATATAAATAACTAACATTTTAGTAATAAAAAACAAATAAACAAAAAAACAATAAAAACTATATGTTTACTGATGCAACATTATATTACATTTCTAATGGATTCCTCCTTTTCTTGCTCCATAAGAATTCTTTGAGCATTCCTTAAATTTCTTCGTTCTTCTATTAGGTCCTCACTTTCCATATTTGCTTGGATAATTTTGTCCTCAAAAAAAAAATCATTTACCAATAAGCAAATTTTTATCTAAACTTTATTAATATGACAAGAGAGATTCATAACATTTTTTATAAATGAACAATAGAAAAGTAAATATTATAAACAACTATACCTGCTGCAAATGACGAAGAGTTTCATCTCTTTCCAATTCATATCTTCTATTTTGATTAGCAATTTTTTGATCCTTTGCATGACTCAAAACAACATGCCTGAATGGCATTTCAAGTTATTTCTTTAAAATTATACAAGAAGTGTTTCTATAAAAAAAAAAAATGTATATTAAACTATTTTTATAGAGAAAACATTCATACATACTGAACTTTTTGTTAACATCATCACCAGTAAAATTTTGAACAGATGGTCAACTAATTAAAAACTGGTAAACATTAGGTAGAAGATGTAATCTTGGTTTAACATTGTTAAAGTAGTAATAAAATTATTACACTACAGCAATATATAATATATTATAGCAGCTCTCAAAATTAGAGTCAGCATTCGGCAATGCCAACCTAACTGTCAACCTTAAAGTGTTTGGGGTTGGCAAAAAATTGCCTACCTTGTTTCTATGTCTTATGATAAGATCTTTGTAAAAATTTTTTGCTAACCTGATGCCAACCTTTAAAAGATTGAGACCTACAAATTATTGCTGACCTCATTTTTCCTGATTCCGAGGGTTGTAACAGAATATAGTTAATACTATTTAAAATTTAATATAATAATTAACAAAATAATATAAAAAATAAAATATAAAACTGTATTAAAAAATAGTTTAGCAATTATAACAAAATTAGAAAAAATAAGGTTAGCAAACAATCATTAACCATTTGGGTCAGCAGTTAAGTCAGTATTGTCAAATGCCAAACCTAATTCCAAAGGCTGTATATAGTTAGTAGTAAAAACTGTAACTGGCAGAGCCAGCAAGTTTATCAGACATGCTATGACAGTTAAAGTGATCAATTGCTGTTTATTCTTCAAAATTATTGACTGAAGACAATTGAATAATTTTTTTTGACAGAGTTTCACAAATTCACTGATCTATTGAAGAAGAAATTTACTCTGTGCTTATGCCTTTTCATTTCTATGAAATATGCAAAACAGAGACCTGATTGTTAACAAAGGGAAAACTAAAGTTATTCTAGTTTGTCTGTATAATACATAATTTTGTACATATGTATCAAATCTCTTTTATAGTAGTTAAATTTAATAAATAATTTAATTTAAAATAAAAGTTAAATAAAGTAATCCATGATCAAAATGAGCAAAATACTTTTTGATGCAAACAAACAATTAAATTGTTTTGTTAGAAACAGTAATAACTTGATTTTTTAATTTAAATTTGTACTAAAAAACGCTCCAAGATGTCTTTATATATCTGACTCTGTCAACTGCATGCCATTTATATATAATGAGATATTCTTGTTGTTATGATACACATTTTGATATGTTAAATAGCAGAAACCAGGTTTGTCAGCAATATTTAAATCAGTTTGGAATTTAGTAGCACGATTTTGTTGATTGAATCACAGAACCTTGTGGTAAACCACTGAAGATCTTATATTGTAGATATAAGATCTTCCACACCACTTATGTACATGCTTACTTCATTTTCTGGCTCTACTGTCTAGTCATGGCCAGTTTTCTTTTTGCAGAAATCCTGTAGTTGTTTTGATAAACAGAGTTTTTTAATAATTTTTTATACAATTTTTCTTTGAAAGGAGGGATTACCTCTAGGTTGTGAAATATTTAAACTACAATTATTAGTTATCCTATATATATATATACATACATACATACATACATACATACATACATACATACATACATACATACATACATACATACATACATACATACATACATACATACATACATACATACATACATGTATGTATGTATGTATGTATGTATGTATGTATGTATGTATGTATGTATGTATGTATGTATGTATGTATGTATGTATGTATGTATGTATGTATGTATGTATGTATGTATGTATGTATGTATGTATGTATGTATGTATGTATGTATGCATGCATGTATGAATGCATGTATGTATGATGTATGTATGTATGTATGTATGTATGTATGTATGTATGTATGTATGTATGTATGTATGTATGTATGTATGTATGTATGTATGTATGTATGTATATAGACACACACACACACACACACACACACACACACACACACACACACACACACACACACACACACACATGACTTTATATGAAAATCATAAAATAAAAATTAATAATTAAATCAAATAACTACTCTCACCATATAGGGTATTTCCACTTTATTTTGCTAAAATAGTGACTACTTTGCAGTTAGATATCAAACACAACCAAAAAGCTAACCTGAACTTGTTTAATTTCTTTTAATTTTTCAAAAATTGAGAAAAGTCAAAGTTTTAATATTTTTTTGCAATCATATAAGATTTGCAATCTTATAAGATTGCAAATCTTATAAGATTACTAGAATATACTCTAAAATAACATATCACTTTATAACATTGATAAGATAAAAAAAATCATAATTCTGATATTGATGATACAAAATGATACAAGTGATATCTGATATATAAATATAAAATGATTTTTATTGCATGGTATATCTATTATAGCTAATTGTTTGACAACCAGTTGAAACAACAACCAAAAAATTTCAAGTCTGCACAAATTTTTGCTAAAAAATCACTGCACAGGCGAAACATAAAAAAATTAACAAAAAAGTATCTGTTCAAAAATGAATAATTTTTATTCCATGTTTAAGAAGTGTAAAATTGTCGAGAAATGTGATAATGATGGGATAATAAAAACTGATTTTGAGTTTTGTTGGTCAAATTTATTAACAATCATGTAAACAAATAATTAATGATTGATTAAAATTTTTAAATTCTGTTGAATTTTTTTTTTAAACCTTAAATTTTTAACCTTAAAAAAATCAATTTTAAAAAAATTATAAAAGATATCTGATTATATTCCTTACCATTAATAAATGGTAAAAAACATGATTTAAGTAAAACAAGAATATGCTTATTTATAAAATAATAATAAAAAAAAAATGATTTGAAGAAAAAGTATGGAAAGTTTTTTTGGCAAGAACTACTGTTTTAAAACCACTCTTTTCTTATTTATATATATCAACATATCAATATATAATTATAACACTAACGTTAGTTTTGTTAAATTAATTTAGCATAAAAATAAGCATGATTTAGCGGTGGGGAGCTCATGAAAAGTGATTTCAAAAAGTAATTTACTTTTTGAAATCACTTTTCAAAAAAAACTTTTTTTTTACTTTTTGAAATCACCTTTTAAAAATTGACATACAAATTGACATACAAATCAATTTGATGAACAAAAACTTTTAAAATCTTAATCAACAATTTTAATTTAAAAATATATATAAAATATAAATGCTTATATATAACTTTGTGAATTTATTACATATATTATATATTACATATTAAAATATATATATATATATATATATATATATATATATATATATATATATATATATATATATATATATATATATATATATATATATATATATATATATGTATATATATATATATATATATATATATATATATATATATATATATATATATATATATATATATATATATATATATATATATATATATATATATATATATATATATATATATATATATGTATACATATATATATATTATATAGCATGCTTGTTAACAACATGACATGACATGACATGACATGAAACAGAATTTTTCATTATATACACAGTATTATATAAAACATTAGTTTTTTAATTAAAAAAATTGATTAGTTTTTTTATGATTTTATAATTTAATTGTTTTTGTTATAAAAAAAAAGTTCTTCTGATTTGACTGAATCAAGATTACTTCAGTCCTACGCGCCATGGACTGCGATTTGTTTTTTTATTTTGTTTTTTGTTTTTTAAAAAAGGTTTAATTGAAAATACCGGAGTAAGATTTGTTATTTGGTAACTAGGAACGTGGAATTATTTTTGATTGTTGGTTTTTAGGCTTTTAGGTTTTTAGCCTACGAGAGAGGAGTGAAATAGTTTGAAATAAGACCATCAAGCGTACTCCAAATACTTGAAAACTCGATATATTTTTAAAGAAACGATATATCATTTCTTTATTATAAAGTTATTTCCTATTTTCTAGGGTGAAGATTTCTAGAAGTTTATTACATAATACTTGATAACGCTATCGTATTACGAAAACGTTTTTTTTTTCCGGAGTACCATTGTGTTTTTTTTTGTCCAAAGTAATCTAGCTTAGGGGGGAAAAAAAGATGGTATCCACAGAAGCGACACTTGATTGTGTGTTGTTTTGGGGAATTTTTAGAGTAAACTTAAAATTTCAAAATGAGTATGCTCTTCAAAAAAATGTATATAATTTTGATGTCATCAGCATTTTCATTGCGTTTTTTATAATTCCTGGTAGGTTATTTATCTGTATCATAAATAACAAAGCTCCTAAAACTAATCCTATGGGATGCTGCTAAGAACTTCATCTATGAACAAGAACATCTAAGAACAACATCTATGATAAAAAAAATATTTTCTGATTAGTTATTTTTGTTTTTGTTTATTTTTAGTATAAACTTATTGCAAAAGTTAACCATATAAGAGCAAAACTTTTTTTGAGCTCGGTAGTTTCTCAAATAATTATTCTGTTAACACCAGTTATTCTGTTAGAAATTTTTTGATAAATAGTGTTTCTGTTGTCGAGAATGTAGTAACTTTCTTTATTATGTCAAGCGCAAGCTAAAATTAAATTAAAGCATACTATTTCTTCTTGAAACATAATTTCATTGATTTGGGCTTAAAACTCGCAATGCATTATAATTTAGTTGTAATAAATTGCATTAAAGAACTATTCCACGTTGAACAAAAAGTTTAATATAAATTTCAAATCCTATAAAATAAAAAACTAAATGTATTATTCAAAAGTTAAAGCTTTGTAGTTTCTAAAAACATGTAACATGTAGAACTTTCAAAGAATTTTACGATTTGATGCTTGAACTTAAAACGAAATTTTTTAGACTTCGTGTAATTCTAGTAAATCATTTTGAAACCTTTTTTTTTTACAAAACCTTTTTTTTTTAACCTTTTTTTTTTTTTTGAAACTTTTTAAAATTTCTATGTAGATTTGTCTCACGCAAAATATAGATGGGGCTCTTGCTTTTCAAATTGAAAATTAATTATTATAATTAATGGTCTTTCATTGAGAAATTTCTATTTGGTCTTCTATAAGTTTGTTACGCTGCCAAATGACACGCCGTGACACTAATAGTAACATTTTTCATTCTAGCGTAAGAATATTTATTTATTTTAAATAAATATTTATAAATTACTTGTAACTAAAATAGGGCAATAAATATCAATAGATATTTAAATTTAAATATTTTTAGTTATGTCACGTTTAAATGTTTTAAGTTTATGTCACGTTGTGACGACACGGCGTGACTTTTTTTTAAATTAAATTTTTTAAAGACTATTTTTAATTAAAATGTTACGCAAAAAACATATTGGTTTAACATTAGTAGTATTTTTATTGTTTGTTATTTGTGGATAAGTTTTGAAACCTCCTTTAATATAACTAACATTGTTTTTCTTTATTAAACTTGTAGGTGTACCTGTAAATATGTAGACATATTTTACTAACACCTTTGTTATTTAGTTTTTCTTAAATTTTGTCGCGGCATTGCTGAAGTTATTCTGAATCAGTGGTGTACACTGGATTTTTAGATGTTTGAGTTTTGACACTTACACGTATTTTTCAAACTCCAAACTTTTGTATGTTTATACTTATGTCAAATGAGAATGTTTTGCAAAAAGTTGTGGTGATTGGAGCTTGGGGACAAAAAAAACACAATTTTCGGGCTTACCAAGCCCTTAACGTGGGAGCAACAAGTTGACAAAATAATTTCTTTAGTATTTTTATCTAAGTTTATATTCATCAACGAATTTCAAATTTCATGCAATAACCTCTTAGTTTTTAGTTTTTATGACCCTACAAAGTTTACAGCCCCCTCAAATTGAGGGGGTTAAAACTTTATATGGTCATAATTTTCGAAAAATAAGAAATTATTGGATGAAATTTGAAATTTGTTGATGAATATAAACTTAGATAAAAATACTAAAAAAATTATTCCACGTTAAGGGGAGCACACGTTAAGGCACTCCCACGTTAATATACTCCCACGTTAAGGGGAGCAACAAGTTGATAAAATAGTTTTTTATTTTATCAACCCACTAAGGCTGGGTGGGCCCAATTTTTGGGCCCACCCAGCCTATGTGTTGATAAAATAAATCATTTGACATAAGTATTTATGAATATATAAATATTTATGTCAAATGATTTATTTTATCAACACTTAGGCTTAATGTGAACTTATGTCAAAGTACATAAATACTTTGACATAAGTTCATATTTATGTCAAAGTATTTTATTTTATCAACCTAAGGGTTGATAAAATAAAATCATTTGACATAAGTATGAACATACAAAAGTTTGGAGTTTGCACAATACCTGTAAGTGTCAAAACTCAAACATCTAAAAGTCCAGTGTACACCACTGCTGAATGTTTATTGCTTATACAATTCTTATAAAAAGTTTGCTAATTTGAGACCAGCCCATATATTTTTATCAAGCTTAATGCCTAGAAATGTTTGTTCATGTAAAAAACATTATCTTGCCACTCAAAGCGTTACATTTCATCGATGTAAAATTTCCCCTTTATTCGCATGCTTTACCAAATACTTTAGTGTGTGACGAGAAAAATGATAATTGTTGGAATAATCTTTGTGAAGCTTGTAATGACGGAAAGTTATTTCTCAAAACATACCAATTAGATAAAAAAAAAAATACGATAAAGAAATAACCTGGTGCCTTTGGGAGAAAGTTAAGCAACTTAATGGAACTAAGTACCTCGAAAAAGCAATAAAAAAAGACAAAAGTCATAATTTTGTATAACAATGTTTGCAAAATGCTACCCAAATTTCTTTTGCATTATTTTACAAAAGGAAAACAATCAATGTGTTATGAAAACCAAAAAAAAAAAGTTTTAAAAAGCAATCTTGATTCAGTTTTGTTACAAATTGACTTTGCAGAAAACTTCTCAACTTTTTGGCAGGATGAAGTTCAGTCAGCACATGGAAATGAAACCTTATTCAAGGGCATTATACTTATAAAATTTACTAATAAAAAAACGTAGTTGAATTTTACAAGACTTTTTTTGAAATTATTTAAAATAAACTATTTTGTTAAACGTTATTGTTATACCAATCTTATAAAAATCCGAAAAAATTGGATTTTTTTGTTTCAACTGTTTTTTTGATGATGTTATTGTCTTTATACTCAAAGATTTTGTACTGGTCACACCGTGACGTTACGGTGTGACGTATAAATATATCCGTTGATATATTTATGTGGTGTCTCCATTTAAATTTATAAAACATTTGAAAAATGTTATGAAACTATTATAACACCTTTAAGTATTCAAGACATAACAAAAAAATATTTCAAAATATCCACAAGAGCTGAACTAATGTCATTTCTTCTAATGACGGTAAATGCTAGATAATTTTTGTCACGTCGTGACGCAACCTTTTAATGCGTATACCTAAAAATCTAAAAAATATTAAAACTAAATAATTTTGTTTTTAGAAACTGTAATGTATATGAAAATTTTTTAGTATCTTTAATTTTTAAATTTAAATGCGCTAAAATCTGATGTTTTTCCCAAAAAAAAGTCAAATGGCACGCCGTGACAACATGGAATAGCTCTATAAAACATTTTTCTATAGAAAAAATAGTTCTTTAGGAATTTATATAGAAACTAACAGAGATTCTACAGAAATTATAATTTCTATAAGCCATATGTTTTTGAAGTTTATAGAAATTCTATAAAACTTTTTTTCCTGGGAATACATAAAGAACATGCTAATGTCTAAAGGCATCGTCCGTAAATTACGCAGCGCTAAATTTCACCAATAAACAAAGCAAAAAAAGATTAAAAGTTTTTTAAATCTTTTTTAATTTAAAAGACTTGAGGCTCTGCTCCCACCGCAGAGAAACAATTCATAAAAAATCAAAACAGCCCATTAAGGATTTAAAAAATACAAAATAAAGTTTTTTTGAAGTTCTATAAATAACTATATATACTATATACTATAACAAAGGAAAGGCAGTGAATTTTTAAAAAAGCTTAACATTTAACTAAAAACATCAAAACACCGGGTGAAACTTGTTGCACATGTCACGACAGAGTTACTAATGTGCTCAAGTAATTAGTCCTAATAAGCTGCGGTTGGTCTGAAAAATAATTATTAATGCCTATTATTTACCATTCGCCTGATTTTCTTACTGCATTTTGAGTTGATTAATAATCATACTAAAATAACAAATTAAATTTAGTAGAAAATGACGGAAACATTAGTTGTGAACAATTTTATGCAGTCTTTCTGAGGGAATTATCAAACTAGTATAAAGGGAATTATCAAACTAGTATAAATCAATAGTTACAAATTTCTACATCTGCTTTGCTTGATACAACTTTTCAACAATCGATCAACAATCAAATTGCTATTACTTGGAATGCAATCCTAGATGAGGTTGTTAGTGCCTCATCTAGCATTGCGTTCTATGACTGTGTAGGTAATGATGACTGAATGATTCACATCTGTGTTGTGTAACTCAAATTATTATTAGTTTTAAATGTTATGAGAAGAATATATATATATATATATATATATATATATATATATTATATATATATATATATATATATATATATATATATATATATATATATATATACTTTAAATAAATTATATTTGATATACAAAAAAAAGTTTGTTTATTTGAAAAAATATATCTAATTCAAAAAAATACATTAAATATTCTATATTGAAAAACTAAATACCACACTATCCACATAAATTGTAAATTTTTATTCATTAAACTTGTTCTAAAAGCGATGGCTTAGGACACATCAGGCATTTACCAATATGCTTTGGAATTATATATAAACTAAACCTATTAACTGTTTATACTTTTATTCTTGACTATATTACAATTCAGTTATAACTTTAAATAAAATCATTTCTTTTTCTTTTCTTCCTTTTTTCTCTTCTTTTCAAGCTTTTCAAGCTCCTTTTTTTTATAGCTCGTTAGCAAGCGATAAACTAAGAATACTAAAACAGAAAAAAAATAAAATTATTTTACATTACATTTTTTATAGTTTGATACTTAAAATATTGATAAATAAAACAAATGCTAAGTTTATATAAACCCTGACCTACCTTTTACTGCTTTTTTAAGACAAAAAAGAAGTTTATTTTAAACCATATAATTAGTGATGGATCAAGGGAGGGGAGGATGGGGGATATGCATCCCCCACACCAGAGTCTGAAAGTCCTTAAATGGAGGACCTTTTTTTTCTTAGGAGATGTGATACAAAGAGAGATTTTTTTATATTAAAAATCTCGAGATTTTTTTATATTACAATATAAGTATTTATTATAAAAAATTTCAGTTTATAAATCTAAACTAAAATTTTTTACAAAACACGCATAAACTATTTAAATCTAGCATAGTCTGTGATCGAATGGGCATTTTCGAACAGCTGTTTTATAATAATTTCAATAGGATTTAACATGTTGATATAAATTTTATACTATGGTGAGAAATAAAATGAAAGCACATTTTCGACAAATCAAAATTTACTTGGTCGGTGATTTTTAAAGCCTGTTTACACTGAGAAGTTTTGTTTTGTCAGTGACTGAAATAATTATTTTTTAATTTTTAATGCTAATTTTCACTGATTTTGTTGTTGTTGTTGTTGTTGTTGATAAAAACCAAAAATTATTAAACAAAGGTCTTAATAAGCTTGGGGTTTTAATATAAAAACAGATTGAAAACAAAACACAAAAAAAACATTTATTTTCTTTTTTTCTTTTTTCATTATTGAAAATAATGAAAAAATAAAAAAAGCATTCTAAACAAGCATGAAATTCTCAGTCATTAGAGATCAAAATAGCAATTAAAAAGTGGGATAAATTACACAACTGTGTTAAAAAAGATCTCTAATATAATTACAAACTAGTCAACAGAGTGCCACAAAAAATGAAAAATATTCCATAAATAATAATATATAAAACCATATATATATATATATATATATATATATATATATATATATATATATATATATATATATATATATATATATATATATATATATATATATATATATATATATAATATATATATATATATATATATATATATATATGCATAGTTTTAGTTATAAACCAAAATAATAGAGAATAAAAAAACAATAACAATAATAATATTAATTGGTATTTCTTCAGTTGAGTGACATAAAATTATTTATATGCTTTTATTGCTTATCAATAATGTCTGAAATAACTCACCCTTCCACAAAACTCAACAATGTTTGACTCACTCTTCCACAAATAAAAAACACATAAATCTTTAGACACAAGGGTCAGATTAAGTTTTATGACTGACCAGGGTCAGTCATAAAGTTTAATTTGACCAAGGTTTTCTTACCCTCTAATACCCTGACTCAGTCAGGCTTTATGACTGGGTAGGGTCAAGTAATCATACTACAAACTTTGATTCAAGTCTTCAGCCAATTAATAAAACATTTACATAAACATAACAACAATTAAATAAATTGAAGTACTGATATATAATAATAACAAAAAAAGTTTTTAACCTTAAACAAAAACCATATAAAAAAAATAATAATTAGCAGTTATAAAGCACGCCACTTAATAAGCACTTTAAAAAAAAAAAAAATTATAGACATAGATTGCTAATATCACTAGAAAGTAATAAACAAAAAAAAAACCACTCACAAATCAAATCAAATATATTCTGAATAAATTTGTTACATCAAGGATATTTACAAATAGTAAAAAGTACTAATATAAAGTAAAAACCTGTCAAATTTAATAATAATAAAATGGAAATAATAATAATTATTACAATACAAGTAGAAGTAGTTAAAATAGTATTGATAATAGCAATTAAAAGTATAGATTATAAAAAGTATATATTATGCTATAATAATAATAATAATAATATTAGTAATAAAACCAATAAAAATAATAACAACAATAACATTAATAACAACAACAATAATAGTAATAAACAAATATAATAACAACATTATATAAACCATCATCCGATGTATAAAAAAAACTGTACTAGCCCTTAGATTTTATTGTCTGTTTATGAGTAAAAATATTTAAAATATTTAAATTCTCAGGTAATTCTCTTTAAATTATTTTAACTTTAAAACATATAATGAAGATCGAATACAAAAAAAATTACTATACTTACGAGCTAAACATACTATGACAAAGCCAGGTATTAAAAGAAACTTTGCTTCAACATTAAAATTATTTGGGTTTTGTGGATTAAACGTACTTTCTGCTCCGTCCGCCATTTTGCAAAAACAATACTTCTGTAAGAATAAAACGTATTATTGTGTTTTGAACTCTCAAGTAAGCAATCAATTTATAAACACGTAAGTACACGTATATTAAAGCAAAGTAGACTTCAAAAAACAACAAAGTTTCATTTTTAATTATTTTACGCGCCGTAAAATTAACTCCGCGTGGAACTTTGATTTTTATCAGATAATTCAGTTAATTCCCGCTAAGTCGAATACTGGTTAACTCGAACTTTTGTTATCTCGAACTGTTTTCTATAGTCCCTTAAAAACAAAAAAAATTGTTTTACTTTTTCGAACGTTCGTACAGTCGAACTGTTTTCTTGGTCCCTCGGCACGGGAATTAACTTTACGTATTTGCCCTTTAAAATTATGTTAAATTGAAGTACTACTTACGTATCTTTAAAATGAGTTATTTTGGAAAACTATCGGAAACTTTGTACATCGACATATTAATAATGTTTTATTCACTAGCAGTTAAAAACTTAAACAACTGCAAAACATTTAAAAACCCGATTGTTACAATACAAAAAATGTTTAAAGTAGTAGTTATATATATATATATTTTTTTTTTATTTGCATTCACTCCCAACAAGGCTGCAAGCAACCACTATTAAGTTGGGAGTTACTAGAAGAAAAAAAAGAACAGAGTTATAGAGCAAGGAAACGGTTGACAGAAGACTTGAAAAGTTGAAGGTTGTATGAGTCAGGAAAACATGAAGATGGGAGAGAGTTCCAAAGGATTGAAGTGCGGGGAAAAAAACTAGATGAATAAAAGTTTTTAGAGCATGCAGGGACAGATACAGTAAACGAATGAGACTTAGCTGAATGACGAGTGAAACGAGAATGAATTTTAGTTGATGGAACTAGAGATGATAACTCCTTTGAGCAGTGACCATGATAGTATCTGTAGAAAAGAGAAAGAGATGCAACTTTACGACGATGGGAAAGAGGTTCAAGCTTAGCAGATAGTCCAGGTCCAACAGCATGTACAATGCGTTTTTGGACCTTGTCAAGAAGAGAGTGTAAATCGTTAGAAGAACCAGCCAAAATATGACAACAGTATTCCATACAGGGACGAATAAGAGATTTGTAGAGGTAGAGAATGGAATCAGAAGTAAGGAAATGGCGAGCACGATAAAGAGAAGAAACCTTAGCAGAAGCTAATTTAGCAATCGATTGTATATATGGTTTCCATGAAAGGTCAGTAGTAAGCGATAATACAAGAAGACGTAAAGAGGACGACTCAGTAAGAGGATTGCCATTCATTAATATAAGAATGTTGACCATATTACGGTTGTTGTTTGCAGTAAGCAATTGGGTTTTTTTAGAGTTGAAATTCACAAGCCACTGCAAACCCCAATCTATTACTGAAGTGAGATCAGATTCAAGATCAGCTGCTTGTTCTAGGCGATCGAAAAGAGAAAACTTTTTGTCAAGACAGCAGTATAAAGTTGATTCATCAGCAAAAAGAGCTACTTTAGATGAAAGGTTGTCAGGAAGATCGTTTATGTAGATAAGAAACAAAACAGGGCCCAGGATGAAACCTTGGGGAACCCCAGAAGTTACTGAAAATAAAGAAGATTGTTGGCCTTCAAGGATGACTTTAATAAACCGGTCAGAAAGAAATGATTTGATAATCTCAAAAACTCTCCCAGAAACACCATATGAAGCAAGCTTATGGAGAAGACCAGCATGCCAAACTTTGTCAAAAGCTTTAGATATGTTGAGAGCAATAGCCCTAGCCTCACCGCCTCCATCTAATGCACGATAAAATCTTTCAGTTACAGCAGTTAGCAAGTCGGCCGTAGAGCGAGAGGATCGAAAACCGTATTGATTGTCTGACAGCAGTTTATTTGACTCAAGATGAGATGTGAGGAATTTGTTGATCAAAGACTCAAAGACCTTGCTAATAACAGAAAGAAGACTGATCGGACGATTATTGGAGGGGTCAGAATTTTCTCCAGAGTTTTTGAATATTGGAACCACAGATGCTATTTTCCAACAAGCAGGAAAACAAGACTCAGTCAAACACTTTTTAAATAGTTTAGAGAGAATTGAAGAAAGTTCTGGAGAACAATTCTGCAAGACTGTGACAGGAATGTTGTCTGGACCACAAGCTGTAGACGAGTTTAATTGAGATATGACTTTAGCAACAGAAGCCGGAGTGATTTGAATGTCTAACAATGGGTCAACCTGTTTGACTGGAATGGAAGGAAGAGAATGTCTATAAGAATCAAGAGTGGAATTAGAAGAAAAGTTCTTTGCAAACAGTTCTGCCTTATCCCTGGGAGAGGTAACAAGATCAGTCCCATGAATGAGAGATGGAATGTTAGATCTACCCTTGTTAACAATGCGGTTGAAGATTTTCCAAAAGTCTTTAGAGCCTAACTTCTGCGATAAGATGCGAGATTTAGTGAACTGAGAATAATGGAGTTTAGCATCAGAAAGCACCTTTTTACATCGATTTCTTGCAATAATAAATAGCGGTTTGTTCTCAAGAGAGTTGTTCTTTTGAAAAAGATGAAAAAAATGGTTACGATTGGATATAGCAGCCGCACAAGAAGGAGAAAACCATGGAGTAGAGTGAGGCTTGACTTGAAACCGACGAGAAGGAATAAAAGCTTCCATCCCAGCCTGAATCCAGGAGGTTACGTAGGAGGCGCATTTTTCAGCTGAGAGAGAAAAAACATCAGCCCAAGGACCATCACGAAGAAAATCACGAAAGGAATCCCAATCAGCTTTAGGGTAGTAGTAGGTAGTGCGATGATAAGGTGAGCCCAAAAAAGAAGTACGAGAAGAAAGATTTATAGAGATCATTGCATGGTCAGAACCACCTAAGGGAGAAAAGGGAGAAACTGAGCATAAGCTAGGGTCAGAGACAAGACATAAGTCAAGGAGTGAAGGTAAATGATTAGGGTTGTCAGGAAAACGAGTCACAAAGTTAACTATCTGAGTAAGAGATTGAGAAACGCAGAAGTTAAAGGCTTTAGTGCCAGCAGGATCAGTGGTGTTAGAGCCAAGCCATTCAGTGTGATGGGCATTAAAATCACCAACAACAACAATATTGGCAGAGGGGTAAAGAGAGAGGGCATGGTCAATTTGATCAGAGATAACATCTAAAAGAGTGCAATCATGGTAAGAAGGAGAACGATAAAGAACAAAGAGAAAGGTGATAGAGTAAAGAGGTGCTAGGCGAAAGCACATAAAAGAATTGTCAAAGGATTCGAACCTGATTTCACGACAAATAGGGGAATTAATGCGTATGTATACCCCTAAACCTAGCATGTGACTATTGGAGTCTTTACGAATCAAAGGATAGTACCCATCAACACTGACATCTGAAGAAGGAATTGCAGAACTTAAATTTGTTTCACTGAGTGCAAGCAAGTCTGGTGAATTTTGCAGGAGGTAAGACTCAACTGATGGAAAGTTGCTTCGTAGACCGCGAATATTTGTAAAAGATATATTAAAATATTTAGGTGGTGGGGATGGTTTTTTAGGTTTTAAATTTTTGGTTACTTTGGTCATGATTTGGGTTTAATGAGAACTTGACTCATTCATGGAGCACAGCCTCTTAATCAATGAGCTATGCAGTTGTCTTAGTCCTGTTAATTAACCCTAAGCCGTGACATAGGGCTCCTTATGTGGCCTTGACAATGCACACCAAAAGCATTAACAGGGACACCATCCATGCGCAACATGGCACTGTTAATACTCTGATATTTTGCAGCTGTTGATGGAATCAGCCTCTCTGAGAGCTACCACAGAGTTCGGGAAACCTTACTACCAGCCGGCCTCAGAACCATTAAACTGAGTTTTAGAGCTGTACCCTCATATGGAGATAACAGGAAGAGTTGCATAGCCATTATCAAGGAGGCATAAGCAAAATTCTATGAGTAGAGTCAAGGAGATCCAGCATTCGTCATCCTAGGCAGGAAACTATGTAACACAGGTTACATCTACGCCAGCCTAATAGATGAAGAAGGGGTTCGAGGCTGGTTAGCAGAATTTTTCTGCTTACCCCTAAAGTCTTTGCCTAGGAGGCCTTCTGCAAGACAGTAGCAGGATGCAGTTAACATCTGCCCAAGATGAGTATTTTTATCGAGACACCATCTCTAGCCTTTACTCAACCAAGAGCCCCAAGGCAGGGGATGTTTAGCTGGATGCAGTTAACATCTGCCCAAGATGAGTGTTTTTATCGAGACACCATCTCTAGCCTTTACTCAACCAAGAGCCCCAAGGCAGGGGAATTTTTAGTCGGAGTTTATTTCTCCTAGCCTTTGCATAAGAAGAGCAAACTCTGCAAGGCAGCAGGGCTTGTGGCAGGAGGTACTGGGTTACGTGATACCAGTAGCAAGATTGATCTCGATTATCCTGACCTGACCTGGATATATTTTACATAGAAAAAAAAAAGTTGTTTCAACATTTATATATGCTTTAAAATTAAAGCCAAAAGGGAAGTAATAAGTGACAATTCTTTTCTTAAGTAATTTTTTAGAATAGCAACTGTGACGGGTCGTACACACCTATATCTGTTTATAATAATGTATATGTAAGTATGCAACTATTAGTCTAAAATATTTGGACACAGGTTTTATAAAACATATAATTTTAAGTTGTTTAGATTTTGCATTATTTTAACCTACAAGAAATAATTTTAGTTATTTGGGCTATTTCATTTTTAATTTACGTTACAAGCGCAACAACTTTATCAAAATTTTACCTATTTAAACTTTAAATTTTATTTTTAGCTATTTTGTATAAGCTAAAAAGTTTTGAGTTTGGCCAAAAGACGGCGAACTTATTGCTGAAAATTCCATCTAACTTACGTTGCGCAGAAAACAAGGTAAAAAAATTGTTTCAACTTTTAGGTCAGATTTCTGGGAATCAGTAAAGCGGATTGATCAGTAAAACAGATTGTATTGGAAATTCACAAGATGTTGAGAATTATATATACCAATTTGAAAAATATTTAAAATTTATCAGAGGTGATCGGCTAGGAAAAATAAACTTGTTTTTTTGATACTATATAATTAACTTACGTTACATCACTTGCATTACGGAGCGATTATTATCGTGGATTTTTTATATC